CTCTGCAGAAGAGAAGCGAGGAGGTGGTTACCGTAGCGGAAGGGAGGGTTTTGTAAGCGGTCGCCTACCTTGACGTTAGGACGACCGCCGGTCNCGGTAATCACCAGTAATTGTAGCAGACGTATCCAAGCAATCCATGCATATACCTGTCTCTCTTACCTGTGAGAACCGAACCGTCGAAACCCATGCCCTTATCGACTCTGGAGCAGGAGGACTCTTTATCGACAAGTCCTTTGCTACCAAGACACAGCTCCCTCTGACACCGTTACCCGCGCCCATCCCTGTCTACAACGTAGATGGAACACCCAACGCCGAAGGATCTATCACCCACGCTGTGCACACGACCCTGAATGCTGCTGGAGTAGACCATGACTCCAAGCTGCTGTCGACGGCCCTCGGCAATGAAACCGTCATTCTGGGCTTACCCTGGTTGCAACAGCAGAAAGCCGTCATCGACTGGGCACACAACACGGTAGAGATCACAGCAACAGACCCAGAACCACCAGTCAAGAACCTATCCCTTGATGACGATGAAGTCCTCTTGGCCTACATCAGGGGCGAACCCGTAATGGGGATCTTTCAGGACACCCCCGAATCACCCCCCACCAAAGAGCACCAACACACCGTCTCCCATAATCTGGCACCCCTCTCTCTCAACCGTGTCTCGCACTGGAAATCCCCGCAAGGAAGGACCTTCTACTCTCATGGAGGAGCTGCGTGGATCAGAGCCAAGATAAACCCATCGCAGGAATTGGCACACAAGTCGGCAACCCCGGACAAGGTACGGAACCTGGATGACATGATCCCAGCATACCTGCACGACTTCAGAGAAACCTTTGAGAAAAAGGCAGCAGAGCGTTTTCCTGAATCCCGTCCTTACGACCACCCAATTGACCTCAAACCAGACTTCGTTCCAAGGAACTGCAAGGTCTACCCCCTGTCCCCAAAGGAGGAAGCGGCACTAGACGAGTTCATTGAAGAAAACCTTCGAAAGGGATACATCCGCAACTCCACATCCCCCGTGGCGTCCCCATTCTTCTTTGTCGGAAAGAAGGATGGCTCTCTGCGACCCTGCCAGGACTATCGTTATCTGAATGAAGGAACCGTGAAGAACATCTACCCGATCCCCCTCGTGCAGACCCTGATCGACAAGCTGCAGGGAGCTACCATTTTCTCTAAGATGAACTTGCGCTCTGGCTACAACAACGTTAGGATCCGGGACGGAGACCAATGGAAGGCAGCCTTCAAGTGCAAGAAGGGACTTTTCAAACCCACAGTGATGTTCTTTGGGCTTTGTAACTCGCCCGCCACCTTTCAGGCCATGATGGACGATCTGTTCAAGGACATGATTAACGAAGGATGGATTGTCATCTATACGGACAACATTCTGATCTTCTCCAAGGATGCAGCCACTCACGCGGAACGTACTCGGCGAGTCCTCCAACGTCTTAAGGAGAACGACCTCTTCCTAAAACCTGAGAAGTGCGTCTTTGACGTTTCGGAGGTCGAATTTCTGGGCCTCATCATCCGACCCAACGTCGTCGCTATGAACCCTACTAAGCTCGAAGGCATCACTCACTGGCCAGCCCCGACTAACGTGAAGGGAGTCCGGTCCTTTTTGGGATTCGGCAACTTCTACCGTCGTTTCATATATCACTATTCCGACCTCGCTCGCCCCCTTCATGACCTCACACGGAAAGACACATCATGGAGGTGGACAGACACCGAGCAACGTGCGTTCGATACCCTGAAGCAATGCTTCATCAGTGCACCAGTCCTACAGATGCCGGATAAAACCAAGCCATTCACCATCGAATCTGATGCCTCTAAATTTGCCACTGGCGCAGTTCTCCATCAAGCAGACATCAACGGAGACATGCACCCCTGCGGTTACCTCTCCCAGTCCCTGGATGCTGCCCAACAGAACTATGAGATCTATAATAGGGAACTACTTGGAATAGTATGTGCTCTAGAGGAATGGCGACACTACCTGGAAGGCAGTCCCTACCCCGTGCTAGTCCTGTCCGACCACATGAACCTAACCTACTTCTGTACTGCTCAGAAACTTAATCGCCGTCAGGCTAGATGGAGTTTGTTCCTGTCCCAGTTCGAACTCGAATTGCGTCACATTCCTGGCACTCGTATGGTCCAATCTGACACCTTATCCCGTCTGCAACATCTGAACCTGGAGGTCAACAACAATGACGCTGTCGTCCTACTACCTGATCATCTATTTGTGTCAAGGATAGACATTAGCCTAGCAGACCGCATTTGTGCAGTCCTCAAGACAGATCAGGTAGTACTCGACACTCTTGCTGCGGTCAAAACCGGCAGGGTCCTACCGATGAAATCCACATTGAAGGACTGGATCTTTGAGGACGGCCCAGTCTTCTATCAGAAACGCTGCTACATCCCCTTGGACGAGGAACCACGACGGGACATGGTCCAACGCTACCATGACCATAAACTCATGGGACACCCCGGACAATTTGGCACCCTCGAACTCCTACGGAGGGACTACTGGTGGCCCGGCATGGCGTCGTTTGTCAAGAACTACTGCTTAGGATGCGCCATATGCCAACAGGCGAACGTTAACACTCATCCCACATCTCCTCCATTGCTACCAATTGTAGCAAAACCAAATGCCCTGCCATTTGAAGTTTCCTCCGTCGACTTTATCACCGACCTGCCTCCCTCCACCGACCGTTACGAACGAGTCTTCGACTCAATCATGGTCGTGGCAGACCACAATGCTACAAAGGGGGTAATTCTTATTCCCTGCACAAAAACGGTCGATGCCCTCGAGACAGCTAGACTCTACCATGACTTCGTAACCAAGCGCTTTGGAGTACCGTCACGGATCATCTCCGATCGTGGCCCTCAATTCTCCTCCAAGGTTTTTCAGGAAATCACACGCCTATCGGGC